ACACCTTGTTATCTCAGATTGTCCAGCATCTGCAGTTCTTACTATCTCTAGATGTTATTTTTAACGAGTTTCATGCGGAATTTCTCTCTGTAAGGTGTAGCTAGTTTTCCCATCGGATTTTCCCAAATTCACCTCATGACCTATGCACAATATCTCTCTGTACCTCCGTTGTGTCCTCCTACTTGCCAGAAGTGGAAGTGATGGCCAATGCCAGGACCTCCTGGGATTGCTGGCCCAGGAGCCATCTTTAAAGCCAAGCCACGTACCCAGTCGAGCGCTTGCAGTCCAGAACTACCCTACACAGCTCTGCCAATTATTCCCAAACATGTCAGGCAGAGGGTAATTGGCATCCCACTTTGCTGATAAGGACCTGGATGCCCTGGCAGACAGCAGTGGGAGTGTGTATAGTGGTGCCCATGGAACATGCACTGATTATGTTGGTGATGCTAGAGTCCGAGATAAAAAAGTCTGAGGTGAGCTGGAGTCACCAGGATAATGCTCTGACTAGATGTCAGGAATTGTTGACATCTAGTTTCCATCCAGCAGGTAGAAGAATGGGAAACCAACTAAGTGAGGGAAGATAATATCATAATGAAATATTAATATGTGTTCTTGCAAATTGACTTCTCACATAATTGACCACTCAATGATTCGGTAGGAAAATGGCATTTTGCCCTGTATCATTGGGAATCTCCTTATTTCCAATCTCATGTGATTCTCTTCTAAATTTTTCACCATTTTACTCATGCTAGTCAATGGCTGAGAAGGTTCTGCAGTATAAGAGATGATGAGCTCCCTCATTTGGCCTTTGTCCGAGACCCATTCCTAGGTTTTACCCAGGGATGTTTAAGTTAGGTGGGTTAGACATGGGAAATACAGGGGCAGGGGAATAGGTCTGGGTGGGATGCTGTTCGGAGGGGTGGTGTGGACTTGTTGGGCCGAATGGCCTGTTTTCATACTGTAGGGATTCTATGAGTTCTATGAGTTTATATGTTCCCTGAATCGTTGCTCCAAGGTATTGAGGCCAAAGCCAGTTGAAATCCAAATGCAAAACCCATAAATGTTGGTAGCCATCCAATTTTAACTTGATCTGCTGAATGGGAAAGGATTGAGTTCAGATCGACCACCTCCACCACTATTCCCAGTATAACTCTTACTCAGGCTCAAAATGTTAATTCTGTTTCTCTCGCCACAGATGCTGCCAGACCTGTTGATTTTCTCAGCATTGCTGTTTTTATTTCATATCTCCAGAATTCACCTCTGACCCTTTATCTTGGACATTAACATCACCAACGTATCAGAGCATGTTCCAGGGGTATCAACTATACACACTCCCACTGCTATCCACCAAAACATCCAGATCCCTATCAGCAAAGTGGGATGCCAATTACCCTCTACCCAACATGTCTGGGGTAATTGGCAGAACTGTGTAGGGTAGTTCTGGGCAGGCAGCACTTGACTGGGTGCATAGCTTGGCTTTAAAGATGGCACCAGTGAATTGCTTTAATCTCCTTGTTTTTGTATTCATTGCCCTTAATGAAAAGGCAAATAACCCATGCCCTTTCTTACCTGACATATCACCTTGTCTTCATACTTACATGGATTTGAGAATATGTACTTCAAGTTTTCTCTATTCTTAAATTACGTCTGGGTGGTATCATTTAGATTAAATTGTTCCTTATAACTATCTCTTTGACCATCTGTCCATATATCTGCTGATTTCATTCTGTCACTTATTTTTCTACAAAACATTCTGGCTGGTCTTATTCTGTTAAAGGTGTTATATGATTGCAAGTTGTTGATTATAAAACTAGCAGGTAGCAAAACTTGATTGAATTGCCTTTGATAGACTTGGAATATACTAGCACAGCAAACGGTCAAATCCTTTGAGATTATTTCAATAGTGGTACAACCGAAAGAGCTTTTTCAAGTGCAACAGATCTTTAAAAATGTATTTCCTATATATTAGCAGACCTCAATCAAAATTAAGTCCTTAATCTGGCTTGTCAGCTACTCAATGTCATGGAGACACAGCTCCCCAGCACCAATCTTTATCCAGAGAGGAATTCTCAGTTCTTATTTGTCTCGCCTTTGTATCAGAAAACATATTCCCCCACCATCCTTACTTAGCTGGGAGAGAGCAGCTGCTGTAGCCCGAGTGGATAAGAAATTATCCATTGCGGGCTTAACACAGCAAGCATTTTTTGGAAGAACAGGAAATGGCTTGGGCTATGTAATTTTCTAGAGCTGACCAAAAGTTGTGGCTGAAAGTTGCAAACATTAAGACCACATCTGCAAAACCAAAGACTTTGATGGCTAAGTTGTATTGTGCAAAAATAGTTAAAGGAAACTGACTCGATGAATTAGTCTTCTCATCAATCAAATATTTCCCCAAGAACAGTTTTTTTTCTTTAACTATTTTTGCCTTTGATCACTGTACTGTTGGCTAATATAATCAACCACTTTCCATTAAATTGCTGCACAATGTGTCTCAACACTGTGCTTATGTCTTACACGTCAGGGCACCAGTACCCTTTCGTGATACTATCTTGCTTCAAGGGCACAGGTGAACATGATAATTACATATAATTACTTTATTAGTGATGAAGATTTCAAAATATCACAAGCAGCTCCGTGTATTACACATTCCTCATCCACAAACATCACCTCCCATTGGCACAACTTTAGGGCAGCATTTTCTACGAATATTTAACACTGTCAATTGCTACATCAATATTCATCATTTAATTACATTATGTTAACAGTCACAATGCAATTGCAAGTTCTAGCCACCCTGAAACAAGATAATGATAACTCTTGTCCAGTGCCATTACCGTTACCAATACCAAAAATTTAAATTCATTAATTGACTGTGAGTAATGGCCACAAGTAATTTTACTAGTGATATGAACAACTGTAAGATAAAACAAATACCAGACCCAGAGTTCAATGCTGTCATCAAATATACACTTAGGATGCGTAAAAATTGCTTGGACTTAGTTGTTGCAGTTTATCATACAGTTATTTGCCAGGTATCAATTGTTTGTTTAATCATTTGTAGTTTGATGTATATTTTCTAAATCCTAGATCAGACATTTATAAAGCATTTTGCTTCATGACTTCTTTCCTGATACTGGAGCCTGCATTGTCCCATTGTATTAATTTGCCAATAATGAAATTACTGTATGAAGTCCTTAAAATAACAGATGATGCCAATAATTTATTGAAAATGGAAGTTCCTATTTCATAACATCCCTACAGTGTGGAAGTGGGCCATTTGGCCCATCGAGTCAACACTGACCCTCTGAAAAGCATCCCATCCCATCTCCGTAATCCTGCATTTCCTATGGCTAACCCACCTAACCTGCACATCCCTGGACACTATGGGCAATTTAGCCTAGCCAATCCATCTAACCTGCACATCTTTGGACTGTAAGCATAAACCAGAGCACCGGAGGAACCCCACACAGACGCAGGGAGAATGTGCGAACTCCAAACAGACAGTCACCTGAGGCTGGAATCAAACCCAAGTCCCTGGCACTCTGAGGCAAAAGTGCTAACCATTGAGCCACAATGCTGCCTATTTGCTTAATCATATGGGGTCCTGCTCTGTCCTTTTCCATTAGCTTTCCTGTTTCACACATTACCTGTGGTTAGATGACCAATAGAGAAATCGCTGTAAAGGTTTCTACCAGCATTGGTGATAAACCAACCATTAGGAAGTGCTTTTGCATGACCCAGAGTGACTCATTCATAGGTTAAGTGAGCAACTGTTTGTATCACTGAGCACCCTCTCACAGTTGTATAGCTGTAATTGGCAATTCAGATAGAAAGGGATTGCTAACTCAGAGAGTAATAGGAGATGTTGTGTCCAATTTGCGGTGAAGCATGTTCTTCCAAAGTCCTGCTTGTCCTCCAAACTGATAAAGAATCATGGCTTCAGAGATCAAAAGCAAGGGTGATAAAACAAGATCACATCATTGGTTACTATTTCAGTGTACACATCATACATATTCATAAAAACAGCACTAAACTTTATTTTTTAATCATTTTGGCTGCTTCTCCATGGAATTATGTATTACTCT